GAGTACCAGGCTCCTGGGGGAAAATTCCCTGCAGGGGAAGTGGTGGGTGCATTTGCAGAGGTGGAAGCATCCTCCTGCCCGTGACATTCCTGTGCAGCCCATCCAGTTCCACCCCTGCCATGGGCAGGGACACCTTCCACTAGCCCAGGTTGCTCCAAGCCCTGTCCAACCTGGCCTTGGACACTTCCAGGGATGGGGCAGCCACAGCTCTCTTGTAGCTTTGGATGCAGGCCAGGATACACACACTAAAAGGAGTTATACTTCCAGTAAAGGATAGGTATTCCCTAAGGATCCTGGAGGGGCAGAGAGGTCCTCGTGTTTCCACATTCAGAAAACTTAAGGCTGCAGTGGAATGGTTCTTTAGTGCCAGGAAAGGCAATCCTGCTTCCCTGCATTTTCAGTTGGAGCCAGCTGGATGTCTGGCACTGAAGCTGCAGGAGGGTTTGATAAGGTCACTAGCTCTGTATTTGTGTCCTCCAGGATGGTTGTTTGCTGGGTGAGATTGAATTCCTGGTTAGATGAACCAGTGGCTTCGTTACCTGTTGGCAGCTGGAAGCTGTGCTGCAACACCCACCCGGGTGTGGTGGCAGGAATGGTGACTTGTGGTCCTGTGCTGGGCTGGGGCTGCAGCAAACCCCAGGACCTCAGCTCCTGGCCTCTGCCTCACATCTGGCTGCTCATCTGATATCTCAAGACACAACCTTGGGTTCCTGCTCCCCAAATCTGTGGCCTTGTCCCTCACTGGTGTGTGAGCCCAGGGTTCATCACTCGGTGGGGACACAGCAAAAGAGATGAGGGAATGCTTTATACAGATGGAGTTTTGAAGGCCTTAAGATCAGTGTTATTTCCTGAAATGGCTGCAGTTCCGTTTTGCTTGAAGGAAATTTCACTTTTGATGCCCAGACTGGTGCAATCTGTGCAGAACTGGCTTCCGTGTGAACTCCCCATGTCCCGTGGGAATGTCCTGGCAGGCCAGGCTCTGGGCTGCTGTGTTGAGCAGTCAGCTAACTTTTGATTAGAAATCTTGCTTTGTAATCAAATTCTCATTTACGAAGAAAACAAAGGTTTTGAGTCTAAACCAATCAATAATTTGTATATAGTTCCAGGTGGCTTTGTCCAAAGTAAGATTCAAAACTTGAGGAATTAGTCTCAGCCTTTCCATGCAGCACCAAATAGTACAACCAGGGAGGATAACCAACACCACCAATGGTGTCTTTTGTGTGCTTTCATGTATTGTCTTTAATTAGTTCATCACAAATAATATTACACATGCTTCCCTGATTTTTAGTCAGTATTTATCAGATAAAGCTGTAGCCAGGGAGCTCCTGGACACTTGGAACAGAAGCTCTGGGAAGTGATAAACAATCCCCTTGTTCATGAATACCTCTCTGGTTTCATGGAGGTTTGCTTTCTGCAGTTGGAATTACCAGGTTTAGTCCATCACTGTTCTCGCCTTAATAATTTTTTCTGTATTTTTGATCTCTCCTGAGAACTCTTATTTTTAACAGTCAATTTAAAGGAAACCTCTGGAGTATCATAATGTGTATTCTGATGAGTACACCTAATTACAAAGAGTACATTAGATGAACGAGGCTGTATTTTTAATTTGCACACTTTTTTTTTTTTGAACACAAGGAATTGTGAGTACAGCCAGTGGTGATGAAATACCCAGTGTTCGGATAAATTCAGAAAATTGGGTTTGCCTTCAGGTAAAGCCTATTTGTATCAACAGATTTAAGCAAGAACAGATGTGCCTTTGTGTAAAGCCAGGCTTTTAAAAATCCCAGTTGTCATTTTTCTGTGTATTTATATTGGGTAGGAGATACCACTGAGGATGAGTTGGGCTGAAAGAAGAATATATTTTATTTGCTCATGCAGGAAGTCAGAGATAGTCACAGTGGTTGTGTTAAATTCATTTTATTTAATTTGCTGATGGCCTTACAGTGTTTAAACTGACCAGCTTTGCTATTTGAGAATAAGTGCTTTTCCCAACATCCTCCTGATCTTTGTGGGATGTTTATCCAGGCTTGTTAATGTGAGTTACCTTCCTTTTAATCCTCTTCTGTATGGCCAGTTGCAGGGTCCTTCTTTTGAAAAGAGATATTAAAACTAAAAGTTTTCTCTTTGAGAGTGTTCATGGGATAACAAGAAATAGCCCAGTGAGGGGTACCCAGGGAAGCAGTGACAAACATCCACAAAAAAATCTGTTCACAGCTTTGATAGTCTCAAAATAGATTTATTTTTTCCATTATATTTTCATTATATATTAATATTTTTTCTGTTATGTTGAATATCTTTTCCACTTAAACTTACTCCTCCGAAGAGTCAAAGTCAGGTTAATGCTACTGTTTGTACCAGTGAAGTGGAAAATGTGCATTTGAAGGCAGAGTTTTAGGGGCAAGCTGGGTGTCCAGAGGATTCTCCTCTCTGTCTCTTGGGGTGTGAGGGGGTTAATTGCCCTGACCTTGTGATTTTCCAGTTTAACCCCGATTCCACAGTCTGAAAATACAAATTCCAGCCTTTCCCCTGTTCTGGGATGCCCTAACAGGTTTTTTCAAGCAGTTGTGACTGTAGAACTGAACCCTGTTGTAGGAAATGATGTGGATTTTTGCACAAAGGCTGTGGTGTCTGTACAGGAAACGTCACAGGAAGCTGAGGGAAGGCAGAAGATTAAACTTGCACAAATTATTCCAACTTTAAAGGGCAGATCCTCAGAATTTTCTGTAAAACCATCAGTCCCCTGCCCTGACCCCCCAGTGCAGGGCCCTGTGTGTGTTCGGGGTTGTTTCACTGAGGGGAAATGGGTGAGGGAATTGTTTATAACTAAAAACTACAATCCTCACTGTTTCTTTTATCTCTTTTGCAAGCGGGAAGGAAAATAATTCCCTTCTCCTGCTCTTTGGTTTGAGGTGTGTTGGCTCAGTGGCAGGGATCTCAGTGTTGCTGTCAGAACCAAGTGCAGTTGGCAGGGCAGTGTCTGCTCCAGGCTGGTCCTGGCAAAGGCCTCACAAATAAAGAGGGATTTTGCTGAGCTTTTGAGGTGCTTGATGTTCCCAAAATAGCTCCTCAGCTACATTATTCTTGCCCATCTTCCTCCAAAAAGCATCTACCTGTGGAATTATTCAGGACTTTGTATCTTATTTGTATCTTGTTTTCATCCAAATTGACCTTCTGCTTAGGAGTTTGCATTTCTCTGTGGACAGAGGGATGTTCACAAGCACTTCAGGCAGTGTGAGCTGTCACTGCCACCCACAGATGTAACTCCTGTCACTCTCTCCAGCATAATATTTCTACTTCTTGTGCCAGGGAAAAAAGCCTTTGTGCAGCATGTGGTTGGATTGCTCAGAGACTTGGTCCAGCAGAGGAATATGCTCAGCACAAAAAGCTGTTTTGTTTTGGTTTGGTTTGGTTTTTTGGCTGGATGAGCTCCCAGGTTGGGTTCACCCTGCAGTTCCTTGGACTTGACTTGGTGGGGAGGGAGCAGGCTCTGCCCCTGTGCAATCTGGAGTGTCTGGCATGGTTTTAGCAAAGTTGTTGTATGTACTTCCAGAATTCATTACGGAGTGTGATAAACACAGTCTTGTTTCTATAAGTTTTTGAACAGGAGTTTATTACATGGTAAAAGCAAGCAGCCAGCTGGGTGACAGAAATGGGGACAAACTTCCCAAATCTGCACCCCTACTACAGTGTACATTTGGCATTTATCTTAGCTACTTCATGCATATTAATTATATCATATACATTCTACAGGTTTTTGCTAAGCATTTAATATATGGATTTTTTACAGCTAAAGCTAAATGGTTATCTCTACAACGGTCATAATTCCTGCATTCTTGGACGAACAGGCGCCTAAAGATTTAAAGTTCTACCATATTTTATTCTTAGGATAGTAGGGAGGTTTCAGGGCCCCTTGACCTTGTAAGGGTCTGTTTTATTTCTTTATGGGGGTGTAAGTAAGTTTTACAATCCGTTTGTTTTATTTGGATGTAATCACCCATTTGTTTCACGAATCCCAGTTATTTATTTATCACATGGAGTAAGCTGGGTTTGCCTGTTGTAATGTGTATAAAGCATTTTTAGGTTCTTAGTCGGGTGTTTTCTAGAGAGGTGCTTTTTCCATATTTATCCACATGTTACTGAATGTTTTTCCAACGTGAGATGGTTTTAAGGACATTGGGCTGCAAAATTCTCTCCTCCTCCCAGTACCAAGCAAGTAAAGCAGTTGTTTTTATACAATGACCAGGTCAGTGTTTAAGACATCAAACAAGTGCACCCCTAAGCACATGTGTCCTCAAAACTCCTGAGAGTGGAAAAGGCTTTTTCCATCCTTTGGGATCTAAGGAAGGATCCCTGAGGTTCTTTGAGGAGTTTGAACCACTTGTTTGTCAGAACCAGAGAAGCCCAAACATCTGCAGAGTACGATTTTCACAGGGGCATAGGAGGCACATGGAATATCCTGAGTTGGAAGGGACCCCCAAGGATCTCGAGTCCAACTCCTGGTCCTGCACAGGGCACCCCAGCAATCCCACCATGTGCCTGAGAGCGTTGTCCAAACACTCCTTGAGCTCTGGCAGCCTTGGGGCTGACTGTCCCAGCTGCCTGCAGAGTTTGGTGGCTTCATAATCCTCCTGGCTCCACAGTTTTTGGGACAGTGTGCTCATCTACCTCCACTGCTGTTTTCGTGGTTGTAAAGGTGAAGGAATCTTTGTGCCCCCTTGCATACCTTGCTCCACATGGAAAACCAGGGCAGTTGCCAAAAATCTGCATTCAGGAACATTTGCAGTCAGAAGGTAGCACTTAACCTTGTTTTGAAAAGATGCCTCACTTAACTGACTTCTTCTCATCTGTTCTTTAAATCATCTCAGCTTTGGTGAATAAACACTAAATCCTACCCCATTTATTATGCAGATGATCCCATCGTTGTTGCTTGATCACCCTCAGTTCTGCATACTACTGCTTTGTGCAGCGTGGAAACACATTGGTGTATTTTTATTTCATAGGAAGCAAGAACAGAATCTATTGCCAGACCTTTGGAGATAAATGAGGCTGAGAAGGTGATGAAAATTGCCATTGACAGTGTTCTGGTAAGCAAAATTATATTTATTTCATTGAAAAATTATAATTTCTCTGCTGCAAGAAGGACGTAGCTCTTTTTGTCAACAGTGAATGAGCTGAGGCACAGTGATGGCTATGAGCTGGCAGAAATCACACCTGCAGCAGAAAGGGTGAACAAATCTAGCAGCAGCACCTAGAAGATGTTAGGATCCTCCTTGCTGCACTGTCACACTATGTGACTGCTGGTTCAATGTGCAGAAACATTTCTTCATCAAATAGCTGCACTTGGCCTCTCTCTTGGGAGAAAACACATTTTAGTCATATTCTCTGCCTCTCTTAGGAGCTTTGCCCCAAAAGCTGGACAGAAGGGATAAAAATGGCCTAAATCAGCACAGAAATCTGCATCCCCCCACCTTGTCTAAGCTGTGTAAACTCTGCCGAGTCAGGGAGTGACCTTGGTGACCCAAAATGTGCTGGTACCTCTGGAGTTGGGAAGCTGGGCTCTGGGAGCAGGATAGCTGAGCTAAAGGGTAAGAAGAGTAATCAGCACTAATCAGTAGCACTGTGCTGATCAGTGCCCTGCCAGGGCATTGTTGTGGCTCTCATTTTGGAGGAACTTCTGTCTGTCCCAGTCATGGCAGCTCTGTCCTTGCTCCAGTGCTTGGGTTCCTGAATTTCCAAACTTTGCTGCACTGTGTGAGGAGGGGGGTTAATCAAATCCTAGTGATTACTATCAGTTAGTTAACTGCAGACTGTATCCAGTCCAGGTGTGGACTTACAAGGAGTGGAGTTGCAGCTTTAAACAGCCAGTGCCCAATCAGTAGATATTCCAGGTGATCTTATGTTTCTGCTCCTGCTCACAGTCTCTCTGAATATTAAAGGTTGTTAACATGCACTTGGCATTCTAGCAGTAGCACTGATGAACTAAAAGCTGCATAGTAAACTGATTGGCTTCCAACAACATGTACCTCAGCTAATTAATTCTGGCCCAGTTAATTAAGTGACCTATTTGAGCTGAGCAGCACCAGCAGTTGCTACTGGAATTTCTGCAAGTCTGAAGTTCTCTCTCTCTTCCTCAAAAGGTGCTTGTGGTTTCCTGAGCATGAGCACACTGACTGTACTCAGCTCATCCTCATGGGCTGGAATATTCCCACTTCCCCCTCCTGTAGCACCTGTGTTAATGTTCAGGATGCCTCCCATAGTTTGAAAAAACATATAAAACAAGATTTAGAAAAGGATGGAGATATTCAGATAGAGTAAGTTCTTTACAAAAGCGACCTTTACCTTGAAAAGGAAAAGAAAATTATGGAAACCAAAAATTCCCTGAAATAATACCAAGAATAAATGCATTTCTCATCTGTGTTTATGCAGATAGAATCGTGGAATCATTAAGGTTGGAAAAGACCTTAGTGATTCCATTAAGACAGATTTCAAAAAGATCTTAATGATTCCAAAAGATAGGCTTCTACCTATCTTTTACTGCTTTTTCAGTGAGAAGGAAAATTGAAGCTGTGGGGTTTTTTTTTTCATTTTCTTCTTTAAAAATGTCTGAAAAAAATAAGGTATTTTAAATTTAGAAGTGTCCAGCTAGTTCACTATCCTGGTCACAAAGAACTTTTTAATTTCCATTGCCTACTTGAATAAACACAGATGAAATTATACAGAATGATGTTCAGCATCTGAAAGATAATTCTAATTATTCCAGGGCCAGCCATGGTTCACCATCCTTCTCTTTTAGGAACAAGTCCAAAAGACTAAAGACATGTTGAATAATGTGGCTTTGGATGAAAGCAATTTGGAAGCCAAGATTGAAAAACGAAAATTGGAACTGGAAAGAAGCCAGAAGAGGCTACAGACTCTACAAAGTGTTCGGTAAAGATTATGAGCTGATTATCTGTTGCATAAATGAGTTTTAACATAAAGAGTGGAACTAGTGCAAACAGTCCCTCTGTTCCCAGAGGCTTCTACCACCAGTTAAACCACCAGTTTAACCACCAGTTAAAAAATTCATTTTGCATCCCTTGTTGGGATCAGTTTCTGATCCTAACAGTGGAATACCCTGACATAAAATCTGTAGAATTATAGAATCCCAGACTGGTTTGGGCTGGAAAGGACTTTAAAGTTCATCTCATTCCACCCCCTGCCATGGGCAGGGACACCTTCCACCAGCCCAGGTTGCTCCAAGCCCCGTCCAACCTGGCCTTGGACACTTCCAGGGATCCAGGGGCAGCCACAGCTTCTCTGGGCAACCTGTGCCAGGGCCTCACCACCCTCACAGAGAAGAGTTTCTTCCATATATCCAACCTAAATTTCCCCTCTTTCAGTTTGAACCTATTTCTCCTTGTCCTATCACTACAGCTCCTGAGGAAGAATCCCTTTCTGGCTTCCTCGTAGGCCCCTTCAGATACTGGAGGTATCAAGGTATTCAGGTTTAAAGTTTGGGTTGATTTCTTGCCCTTAATTAGGCTGCAGGTTTATACAAGCTACAGTCTGACCTAATATAAGAATACAAGGGGAAATACTAAAAAAATCAGCGGTGGAAGGAATGACATTGTTTCACACACACCTTTGGATCAGTGTTGGAGGAGGTGTATTGGGTAGGTGTGAAGCATCAAGCAGCAGCAGTGGTTTTGAGGGTGCAGTATTTAGCTGTGTGGTATTAAGGACATCATCACTTCATCACACAAGTCTAATTATGCCTGTAATGACACAGGACACTTTTGTGGCAAGGAAGTGCCCAGCAAAGTATGTGATTTACCAGCCACACTACACACTGATTTTTTGGAGTTGTGGAACAACAGCATAATTAACTTAAATTCACCTGCTAAAGGGGCCAAAATGCTGCCTTTGTGCCTGTGTGACAGGTCATGGTAGTGGGTGCACAGTAACCTTCCTTTTGCTTTATGTAGTTTCTGCATGATGGTTTAGTGAGCTTTTGGTCTCTGAAGCAGTGTAAAACCTTACAAACAAAAGGGCCTTTGAGGCTGGTTTAGCAGACATGGAAGGGAAGCTGCAAAACCAAAAGTGCATTTCAGAATTCTGCATATGCAGGGCAATATTTATAGAATCAGAGAATCACAGAACTTGGGTGGTTCCAGCCCAGCCCAACCCCCCAGGTTTGGGTTGGAAGGAACCTTAAAGCCCTTCTCATTCCACCCCCTGCCAGGGGCAGGAACACCTTCCACTTGACCTTGTCTGTCCAGCCTGGCCTTGGACACTTCCAGGGATGGGGCAGCTACAGCTTCTCCAGGCAGATTTCACTGAGCAGCTTGTGCTTGTTCTCCCCAGTCCTGCTTTTATGGATGAGTACGAGAAGATTGAGGAGCAGCTGCAGAAACAATACAGTAGTTACCTCGAAAAATTCCGTAATCTGACCTACATGGAGCAACTCCTGGATGATCATCGACGGGCAGAGCAAGAGATGTTTGAGGTAAGACAGCTCAGAAACGGTCAGCAGGACTGTAGAGCCCCAAGTGCTTGTCCTTAGAACAGAAAATGTTTCAGTGCCCCTTCACAAAAACAACATCACTGTTTGTAGATCCAGCTCTGAGTGATGGCAGGTGCTGGACAGCCCAGTGGGTGTTACAGCTCTTGGCCAAACATGACAGCACAGCTTTATTTTCTGAGTTAGTGAAGTTAGACCAGTGTAATTACGGCCCTTGTCAGTCTCTGACCCACTGAGTTGTTTTCAGTTGATGTTTTTTTGTACATGAAGAAGGTTCTCAGCATTTCTAGTCTTTGCTTACCCTATGTTAATCAGTGCATGTGCATACGTACAGTGCATGTGCTAAGAGATATTGGGTGCTTATTTTTACTGTCTGCCAACAACTTATATAGGGGTTTCTCATCACAAGGCTCTTCCATTTCCTCACAGTAGCAAAGGAAACAGCAAAGAGCATCAGTGAGGAGATCATATGTGCTGAGATCTTCCCCCATGGAATTCAGTTTTGTTTGGCAGAAATTCTGTTTTCTGTCAGCTTGCTGAGTTGCATCAGTTCAGCGGGATTCTCCACCTGGGTAATCTGCATCTGTGTCTTGTCTTGCTCCAGACTTCTCTTTGGGTGTTTACTGGACTGCAACGCTTTCAGCCAGTCTTTGCTTCAGCTTCCTGTAGCTTCATGTTTTGTTGTCTGGCTTTTCATCCTTCTCACAGTCATTACCCAGTGTTTACCCAGTGTATGTTCTGTTCTTCGTTGAAAACCTGTTTCAGTGAACAATCTCCTCTTGGACCTCAATGCTGGTGGGTGTGGTGGTTGTGCTACACCTGGAGTTACAGAATCACAGAATCCTTTAGTTTGGAAAAGACTCCGAGATCATTGAGTCCAACCTGTGCCCCATCCCCAGCTTGTCAAGCAGAGCAGAGCACTGAGTGCCACATCCAGTCCTTCCTTATAAACACCTCCAGGGATGGAGGCTCCACCACCTCCCTGGGTAGCACATTCCAATACTTAACAACAACCCTTTCCATGAAGAAATTCTTCCTGATGTCCAACCTGAACCTCCCCTGGCACAGCTTGAGGCTGTTTCCTCTTGTCCTGTCCCTTGTTCCCTGGGAGCAGAGCCCGACCCCCCCTGGCTCCCCCCTCCTGTCAGGGGGTTGCAGAGCCAGAAGGTCCCCCCTGAGCCTCCTTTTCTCCAGGCTGAGCC